CAATTGAAGATTTCTTGCTATTGAGCAATACTGTGCTATTGTGCAATACTTTGTTGTTGCGCAATACTATGATATTGCTCAATACTGTGCAATTGAAGATTTCTTGCTATTGCGCAATACTGTGCAATTGAAGATTTCTTGCTATTGCGCAATACTGTGCAATTGCTCAATACTGTGCTATTGTGCAAAACTGTGCTATTGCGCATTACTGTGCAATTGAAGATTTCTTACTATTGCCAATACTGTGTAATTGAAGATTTCTTGCTATTGTGCAATACTGTGCAATTTAAGATGTCTTGCTATTGGGCAATACTGTGCAATTGAAGATTTCTTGCTATTGCGCAATACTGGCCAATTGAAGATTTCTTGCTATTGTCCAATACTGTGGTATTGAACAATACTGTGCTATTGAAGATTTCTTGCTATTGCGCAATACTGTGCTATTGCACAATACTGTGCAATTGAAGATTTATTGTTATTGTGCAATACTGTGCTATTGTGCAATACTTTGTTGTTGCGCAATACTATGATATTGTGCAATACTATGCTATTGTGCAATACTGTGCAATTGATTTTTTTTGCTATAGCGCAATACTGTGCAATTGAAGATTTCTTGCTTTTTCCCAATACAGTGCAATTGAAGATTTCTTGCTATTGCACAATACTGTGCTATTGCTCAATACTGTGCTATTGTGCAATACTGTGCTATTGCGCATTACTGTGTAATTGAAGATTTCTTGCTATTGCGCAATACTGTGCAATTGAAGATTTCTTGCTATTGTGCAATACTGTGCAATTGAATTTTCTTGCTATAGCGCAATACTGTGCAATTGAAGATTTCTTGCTATTGCCCAATACAGTGCAATTGAAGATTTCTTGCTATTGCACAATACTGTGCTATTGCTCAATACTGTGCTATTGTGCAATACTGTGCTATTGCGCATTACTGTGCAATTGAAGATTTCTTACTATTGCGCAATACTGTGTTATTGAAGATTTCTTGCTATTGCTCAATACTGTGCAATTGAAGATTTCTTGCTATTGTGCAATACTCTGCAATTGAAGATTTCTTGCAATTGCGCAATACTGTGCAATTGAAGATTTCTTGCTATTGTGCAATACTGTGCAATTGAAGATTTCTTGCAATTGCGCAATACTGTGCAATTGAAGATTTCTTGCTATTGCCAATTACAGTGCAATTGAAGATTTCTTGCTATTGTGCAATACTGTGCAATTGAATTTTCTTGCTATAGCGCAATACTGTGCAATTGAAGATTTTTTGCTATTGCCCAATATAGTGCAATTGAAGATTTCTCGCTATTGCACAATACTGTGCTATTGCTCAATACTGTGCTATTGTGCAATACTGTGCTATTGCGCATTACTGTGCAATTGAAGATTTCTTACTATTGCGCAATACTGTGTTATTGAAGATTTCTTGCTATTGCGAAATACTGTGCAATTGAAGATTTCTTGCTATTGTGCAATACTCTGCAATTGAAGATTTCTTGCAATTGCGCAATACTGTGCAATTGAAGATTTCTTGCTATTGTGCAATACTCTGCAATTGAAGATTTCTTGCAATTGCGCAATACTGTGCAATTGAAGATTTCTTGCTATTGCCAATTACAGTGCAATTGAAGATTTCTTGCTATTGCGCAATACTTTGTTGTTGTGCAATACTATGCTTTTGCTCAATACTGTGCAATTGAAGATTTCTTGTTTTTGTGCAATACTGTGCAATTGGAGATTTCTTGCTATTGCGCAATACTGTGCAATTGAAGATTTCTTGCTATTGCACAATACTGTTTGTCCGTCCATTGGTAAAATTCATTGAGATCCATTCACTAAACTAAAGTTATTGTCCAGAAACCAAATGTGTCTTCGGAAAACGCCGACACCATAGCATGATTTTTTTTTTATTTCATATAGGAAATGAATAAAAAGATATGTAGATAATAATATGTCAATTACATGGAAACCCAACTACACAAAAAACCAAAAAAGTAATTTAGATATCAACGTACTGCCTTTATCAATATGTAGTATCTATTTCATTTGGCAAAATCTAAATCGTATGTAGAATTGTCATTGTACGGATATTTAAAAGAGACTATCCAGAAAATAACAAAATAACATAATAGATATAGACAACGCCTAATACTGTTCCTGACTATTGAAAAGTTTCTGAGTTAAACAGCTTTTTTTTTAAATCTAACACGGTGACAGTGGAATGTATATGTGTATGAAGAAGAATTGTCAGATAAAAAGACACAGTTATAAAAAACCATGTATGATAGATAAAAATCAAGAATGCACCCGTTCACGTGCTAGGCATATCCCCTCTTGTACATATTGAGAGAAAAAAAATCGAAGTGTCTTTAACGGGAATTAGGTATCTTACAGATCAGAAAAGTGTTCACACGTTAAAACTCATTGATACCAAGCTGCTGACCCAATATACCCAATATTAAGTCATTCTGTATGGTAGTTTCTGAGAAAAGTAACAAAAATATTTGAAGACCGGACGGACGGACAAACAAGGTGGTTGTAATATTGATCCACTCCTAGAGTGGAGTTAGTGGAGGTATAATACAGAAAAGTAAGTAAATAATGATGTGTATCGTAATGAAGTACATTACCCTGAAGAAAAGCTTATGTAACTTATATATTGATATAGAAATCATGCATTTTCATGCTCTAATACCGGCTGCTTCACTTCCTATGAAATGTTATACTACAACCTAATGGACTTATTAATGAGTTAATTATGACATGAATTTGCACGAAAAAGTTCTAAATATTCAAAGTTTCAACATGCATGTTTAGAGCAGTTTCTAAGCTAACCCGAGTTAATGTGGGTATGGTTGTGCGTACATATAATGCCTATAGACACAAATTTAATACCCATGCTCTCATATTCTGATTTTTTTATGGAAAATTTGTCAACGAAATAATCATATGTATGGTTAATGACATGCATATCTTTTATTTTGACCATTCTGTACAATGTAGCATGACTTCAAATTAATCGAAGGCTAGGAATTCAAAATTATCAATGGGTTATCAATTTTGTTGATTGGTATATATGAAAAGGAAACCATAAATTCATGATCTCAACAGACTTATATTTTACTTTAGGCTGCTATGCATGCAGAATTTGTTAGAACCACGAAATCAAGTGTCCACAGATATTCTGTTTATTCTCAATCCACGTAACTAAATTAATGTTCACTACACCAATTTTTCAACGAGGAACATTTCAGTTGATTTATATCTTTGTCTCTCTTTGCAACTAAAGTTTGAATGTAAAAGAAAAGGACTTTGAACTGAGATGATAAACCCCTTGTTTGATAGATTCAACGGACAAAGAAGTGCACTGAAACATACAGGAAACGTAAAAAAGGTTTAAATTGGGCTGTTAGTTTTCTCGTTTGAAATGTTTCACTTTTTTCATGTTGGGGCCTCTTATAGCTGACTATACGGTGTGGGTTTTTCATTGTTGAAGGCTGTATGGGGACATTTTGATGCTTTTATCTTCGTTATTTGAACTATGGTGGACAGTTGTCTCATTGGCAATCATATCAAATGTCCTTATTTTTATATTATCCCACTTGCTTTATATTTTGTTCACATTTTGTCATGTTGGGCATGGCCTTTTGAATAACTATGCTTAAGCTGTGTTGTCTACATGAAACAATTCAGGACTAATGTCGGACAGAGATTAAAATTATTTCTTATATCAGATTTATCTTTTTTGTTTCAGTACACTTCTCTAAGTAATTTTCTAGATTACTTTTAAAGATGCTATTTTTTGGATTATGAATAAGTTTCTGTCCAAGTTTCTCAACATTTCATAAAGGTTTTGGCAAATATTTTATGCTATTTTACGAGTTACCATGGTTACCAGCTTTATAAATTTTGATGATTAATATCGTTGCTTTGGGGGAAAAAACCCTTGGCTATACCACAGAACTTGACAGCGTAGTTGTGTACGATGGATATGATTGCACGATGTTGTTGTGATTAAAACTTATTTCAAAGGAATCTAGCGCCATATTGGCAAACACAAGCACATGGACCCCTATTTTTTTCTTTTGCATTCAATCAATTACTGTTTCAAGAACGCTCCGCCAAAATTTTAGGAAAAAATCAACGTTAGATTTTTTCTACACTTCGTTTTAGACGCAAAAATATTGTCAGCTTTTTTATTTCGCTTACAGTAATATAAATTCAGGATATAATCATTGAGTTTAACCTCAAATTTGTTACAGCAGGTTAATGCCATTGACCATGGGAGCATTTTACAAAAAACCCGGTTAAAATATGACTGTTTGTTCAACAGTATTGCTACTTTCCGTAAAAGTCCTTAATTATGAAATTTCAGGGTTTTTCCTTCAAATATGCAAATTACGAACCAAAATATCTCGAAAAAGTAAGTCATATTTGTCTTTGCATATCTCAAAAGTACACATTGAAATTGACCTATCAAAATTTCAAGAAAAAATCAACGAGGGATCTCTACTGTATTGTATGCCCTTAATAGCTGAAAACGCCTAGTACATGCGTAACCCATCTCTAGTGAAGAGGTTAAATTGAAGGTCACATGTATAGAGATTCAATGATGTTAAATTATTGTCTAACTAGTCAATATTACATCAGTGATGTTTTTGAGCTTATTTCGAGAGAATTTGGCCAAACTGACTGCTTATAACGAAATACTATTTCAGAATCCAGCTTTAATTAATGCTTGAAATAAAAAGAATCATATTTTAAATTTTTGTCTAAATTGTAGCCCTTTGATGAAAGAAATTGAAGTTTTAATTTTCTCCTTTTCAAATGCTCGTCTAAAGTCATTAGAACCCTAAAGAAAGAATATTGAACAAAAGTTGGATTGCTGAGTATAAACCCGTCAAAGATGTAAGGGTCTTTTAATGTGGCAAAGGATTATTTTTATTTCATGTACCTCTTTCAGGCAGTTTCAATAAAGCAAAAAATACCTAAGCTTTCTTTGACAATATCTGCAGATTCAGTAAGTTCAGCACTCTCTAGTAAATGTATCAACCCTCTTACAGTCACCTCTTCTTTATTGCACAAAATATCAAGAATTTCTTCTCCAGGATTGCTCTTGTTTCCTACAACAGTTAAAAAAAGGCTCTATAGAGCCTGTATTGCTGATTGGAACTTGATTTTATAGCTATCAATGGCCACACTTTAACTCTATTAAACCTATTTTAATGTGCAGAAGCATTTGCAAGCCCATTATACTAGATATTTACAAATTAATTCATTGTACTACAAATTGATCCTAACTAAGGGAAAAGTATCTAAGCAGGCTAAAACATACATCTCCTGTTTATTTACAAAAGTCATTTTGATAAAGGACAGGCAAAAAAGACATTCTAGTGCCGGTACTAGAATTGCATTTTATTGGTGTGTGTGGTGGGATTGTTGATCTATATTCAACTTTGGAGCAATATTTTTTTTTCAAATTATTACATTCCTTCAGAAAAACGCAACTATTAATTTTTCACAATTATTGGTTCATGTATTTTGCTTCATGTTCATATGCTATACAATTTAAAACTTGATGTACTAAGGATAAAGCTTGGCCTGGTTACTTCAGGATATCCTGAAAACAAATTGTTGAGGTCCTGAAATATTTCAGGATATTTTGGAATAGAATTATGGATGTCCCGACATATTTCAGGATGTCCTCATTGATATCCTGAATTCAAATTTTGGAGGTCCTGAAAAATTCAGAAGCCCCTTAAATACAATAACTTTGACTAAACTGCACCACTTAAACAATTCCATTCAAGATCTAGAGTATATGATCTATATTTGTTTTTTAAATTGAAGTAGAACAATCATTCTATTCTTTGAACCATATACTATTTTATCAACCTACTGAGTTCTCTTACTGCTTTCCTGCTCAGTGATATAACATCTGCCAATTTTTTCCAGTTGTCTTCTTTATTAAGCTCTGCAGCCCATTTCAAGAATACCACATTTGGAACATCTTCCAACAATGTGTCTATAAAATTCAAAAATAAAATTTGTTTTTTTCGTCTCAGTCTCTACTTAAAATTTGTAACAATTCCAATTTGAACAGCAATATGCAGTAGTAATTTTGTGCATTTTTATCGCTATGCTGTGTTTAATTAATTGCTGGCAAGAGAACAAACTCAAGATTAAAATTTCTGAGAACTATAAGCTCTTAAATGCAAATGTGGTGGGTAAATGTGAACCCTGTCTGACGGACATGTACAGTAACAACTTTCAAGGATTCCATATACCAAATATAATTATCCTATTACTCATAATAAGGGAGTATTCCACATGACAAAAAACTAAACATTTTTTTCAAACAGTCGCTGAACCATTAAAATGAGGTCAAGGACAGCCTGAAACTTCAGAACGTAAGGTATCTGAGTGCAAGGTATGAAGCTTCCAAGTCTTCTGCCTTCTGAAATATAAAGCTTTATCCAAATAGTTTACATCATCACAGCAGGAAAGAAACAAAACTGTGTAGACTTTGTAATTGTTGAAAATTACTCAATTGTTTAAATAAAATAGAATATAGTGGCCAACTTTTTACTTCTGATGTTGTTTAAAACTTTTCAGTAAAAAAACTTTTGGGTAGGCTTTCATAGATAGATTTAGACAAAATGCAAAATAGTTTGTGCAAATTGAGCCACCATTTAGAAATCAGCTTAAACAAACATAAAATCAATAGGAACAATCTGCCAATATCAACCGTAATTTTTCTTAGTTTTGGGCGGATAAAGTTTTTTCCATTTTCGTAGATTCAAAATTCAAATAGGATTAGTGAAAGTTTGGTAAAATTATATAAAATTTTTTTTTACTTACATGTATATATGGGTAAAGTATTAAGCAACTAAACTCTATACATAATGGGCATTTAATCAACTATACAAAACTGCTTTCATTTAATATATATATGTCTTATGTGCGATCAACCAATTTCTTGCTTTCGTTTAATATATATGTGTCTCATGTGCGATCAACCAATTTCTTGCTTTTGTTTAATATATGTCTCATGTGCGAACAACCCCTTTCTCAGAAAATAATAGTTTGTGTAAAATGTATAAATTCAGCTCTTTTTGTTTTTTCAAGGATAAATATAATAAACGAAGAATTTGGAATGATATGGCCACAGTATGAATTTTTTGTGCAGACAAGATAAGGCAAGATGAACGTACAAACCGCTGAACCATTATTTTTGGTAAGTCTGTGCTTCACTGGTAGGCAATGAAAGCTACAATCCTCTACGTTAATTGCTAAATAGAGAGATCGTATGGAAAATGAGCCCCGATATGTAGCAAATATTCCCCCCAAGAACTCTTTGGTTTACATTTGTATCTTATTAAAATTCAAAGAGTACACCTGAGCTCTGAACTGGGACCAGTTAGGAACCGGTCTCTTTGGTACATTCAAAGACGACCCAAGCTTAACTCTGTGGGAACACAGAAGAAAACCCCAAATATAAGCTAGCGTACAATGTGGGGACATGTTCCATTTTCATCTTGCTATATCCCGCTGGAATTAAAAGATAGTTCTGTGGTTGAAACAAGGATTTGAATAGCGAGTCTTACTATATAATCCTTGGTTTGAAAGAAAGAGGAATTTATAATAATATTTTTTACAAATTCTGACTGTGCAAAGGGAAACAATCTAATTGCATTTGCATTTTGTTGAGCAAAGTCTTATTTGTTAATTATCAGTACTAGCATGACCAGTAATTATTAATCATATCAATATGAAAGGGTCAGGGTGGTTGAAAATTTACATATTACACAACACAAATGGTTATATCTTTGCACTTAAGTACCTAGTAATAGGATGAATATTTGTTACATCAAATTCTCATATTTTATATGGTTGGAAGAATTTAATTTTTTAAAAGTGTATACAAAATGCATTTCTAAATAAACCTACACAATCTAAACTGTCTTTTTAAGTTTGAGCCTACAGTTTTCCTGAATATCCGGCAAATTGGTTCCTTAGGTATTATTATTAGATAGTATGTAATTCTTAACAGAAGTGGTTAAAAATAATGAAATGTATGTAATACAATACCAACCTTCATAAAATGTTACTTGTCTGACTTCAGAAGTTCTTTGAAAAGGCTGAACATTAAAGGCAGCTCTGGTGTATGTGTCTGTTGATTCTTCTCTTATGATAAAGGCCTGCTGTAGAAAAATAGTATCAAGTATGAACTTTTTAAACATTACTACTGTATATTTAGTTTGTAGTTGCTATTGCTTTAAAATGAATGTGTATGATAAGCATAGATTGATACAGCATGGAGACAATATAACTTTATTGACGTTTTCTTTTCAATTTTTGTTGGTGTTCACTTTGGGAGTGTAACTAAATATTTTCCAATTTTGTAAGATAAGCCTTAAGCCATTGAAGGCCATGGTCAATGTATTCTCTAATAATCTATTAAAGTTAAATGTACATGTAGAACCTTTGCATTTGTCATACTTTATTTTAAACTCAAAGGAGTCTTTATTATATAATGTTTATGAAGTTAACCAGCAATTATGTGAAAGGTTTGCTTCAAATATTTAAATATTACTGTCCAAATAGAAATTTTCTCATGTTTGTGAAATTCAAAGATCTTTTTTTTTTTAAGTTTTCCTTTCTGCTTAAAAAAAAAGCTAACTGAAAATTACATTATATTTTGAAAAAGTTGCCTTTTTTTAATATTATATTAAATGAAAATTCAATTTATGAAAATAAGTTAAGAACTTACAAAAAAAAATTAAAGTCAAGTACATGTAAGAACTTGAAAAGTATCTTTTATTGAATTTTGATCATATAGATAAAAATGTTATCAAATCAATGACAAATTAAGAATAAGTAACAGCATGCTAGTTAAATATCTTAGATCCCCCTCTTTCTTGACTAATCTAGTAAAGGAGAGTTTGGGTTTTAGAAATTGTGAGTATAATAAAAATAATCCTAAATTGTGAGTAGAATAAACATAATCCTAAATTGAGAGTAGAATAAAAAATAATCCTGATTAATATTGATATATTTCAACAAGTCCCAGGCCTTTATATCATAGAAACAGTCCATTCAAGTTTTGTTCTGATTTTGAACCTCCAACAACAAATATAAACTACCTGTGAGCCTACATCAGAACGCTGATTAATTGTTGTTCTTTCGTGAATACTGTGTCTCTCAAGTGGATAATTCTGTGCATCTGAGCTTGAAGCAACTGAAGGCCTAACTGTTGCTGAAGGTATTTGATTATGATGTTGTTGAAAATTCTGAATGCTAGTATGTATATGTGGGAAATAATTTCGAGTGTATTGAATAATTTCAAATGCTAAATCATGATTATACTCTTGTAAAACTGTCACAAATGACAAAAATGTTCTTGTCGTTCGACGTCCAAGCGTGTCTATCAGTTTGTCGTTCCCAAGCATATCACCATCCATCTTTGCTGTTGCTTGTATTTGTTGCCTATCAAACACTGTGAGGCCATCAATTACTGGTATGACTGCACAAGGAGTGACATTCGTTCGTAATGCGATGTAAAATTTTCTCAAGATCATTTTTATATCATCGGAACTCATTCTGTATTCTGTATTCTGTAGGTGTCGCTGTCTCTCTTGTAAATTTTGAAGTCTCGCGTGTACGATTTTCACTCTTGTAAACAACTCACTTGTACTTTACTTCACTAGGTTTAATAATATGACAGGATAAAATCCTTACTTTCGTTTTCAACTGGGCCTACTTCGATTCGTCCAACTGGGGTAAGTAGATCTAGAGTCTGTCGAGTTTACTCGACTGACAATCGAACCCCCGAGTTTGACCTTTTGAACCTACCCGAGTTAACTCGACATCAAAATGGTGTCAAGTAGCTCCAGCAAAGAAAAGTATGATACAAATAACTACAAAATACAGCCAGAGAAAGGGGCTGTTAGTGAAATTATTTTTTGTTTTTTTTATTGATTAATGACAAAACCATATCAAGTAATGATAAAACTATCGTCTCGTATTGTGTTTTCGACCGTCTTACGTTTTCGACCTAATTCTACATTCACTTCCCGTATGCTGCGCATGTCCGTGTGACGTCATATTCGGCTGCTATAATTAGTAACAATATCAAATAATACCACGTGGTGGTTAAGATGTTCCAAGTAAAGTTAATGTAATTAAGTATTTACGTTTTATTATTTGATATCACATTTTTGTACCCTTTTACTAATACTATTTTTACCTTCAAAAAGAATCTATAAAAAATAAACAAATATTCTAAAAATATGGCAGGGGGACTTTTTGCACGTGAAGTTTACATCCAGGTCATTAAGTCATATGACTGTCAGGTGGTTAGTTGTAATACTTAAAGTTATTTTTAATACGGAAATCTGCATGATCCTTACAGCTTTTTACTAAAAAAATAAAATATCGATTAATTTTAATTTACAGAAACAACAGTCTGTCAGTGGAAATTACAGACAATACTCACTCCACAATGCCTTCACTAAAGTATTGAACAAAAAAATTACTGTATACAAGATCAAACTTGCTTCCAAAGTGCCTCATGTGAAATGTGTACAACTAGTCAAATAAAGATATCAAAATAATATTTTTTATCTTAAAGTTGTATATGTAACCATTTAATTCATTAAGTCATAAGTTTGATCGCCTCCTAGCAATTTAAATAATTTGATATAGACATTGGCATCAAATTTTAACCAATTCCGGATTTATACGACATGTCATTTCCGACTTTGGACCAGTTTCTTAGATAGGTCGAAAACACAAGACGCTAGTTTTTGTCAACAAATGTGCCATCGATCTAATGAACTCAAATAAAAAAATAATTTAAGATCGAATATATTTCAGATACAATTATTTTATGCACAAGTATACTAGTGACTCTCAAAATATTAGGCATGTCTTTGTTCAAACATATAAAAGGGAAATTCGGAGAAATATGTTAGTAGGTCGAAAATACAATACACGAGGATATATCAAGTCAATACGAAACCATATCGTGAAATATCGAAATATCATTAAGCAGATACATATAATACAATAACATTGTATTATATGTCTCTGCATTAAGTAATGACTATGCCATATTGAGTTATATCAAAACATCATTATGTAAAGACAACATATCATCAAGTAATAATAAAACAACATAACGTAATATAAGAGTTCCACATAAGACCAACAGTACCCATCAGCGTGTGTGAAAACAGAACCTATGTCAATTAAGAGCCGGAAGTGAAAATAGAACCATATGTTACACATGCGTTATGGAGCCTACTAATAGACATATATATCTACCCAAAAGATGATGTGAACTGTCACGATACAGGATTTATTATCAAATTAAGTAGCTGAATAAACACACTTTCTACACAATTATCAATGGACATCATTAAACTGCTGAACTGATAATAAAAAAATGCATGAATTAAATGGCAACATTAAAATATCTTTCTCTGTTAAAGACCCATAAATTTATGTTCTGTTTGGCACTGATGAATGAGAGTCTGGATGGGGTTTACAGAAAAGAGAATAATGGTAAAAAAAAAGGTGCAGAATAAATAAAGAATAGAGAAAAATTGGCAAAAATGATAATAAAAAATAGAGAAGAGTATGGTGAACAATTATAAAGAATAAAGAATAATGGGCATGCACAATAAATAATAAATATAGAAAAATGATCTAAAAAATTAAAGAATAAAGATATAAAGGAACCCCTATCCAGACCCTCATGAATATTTGGTTCCAGTTCTATCGTAATTATTTACAAACGCTTGTTGCCCTTAATTTTGAAGATACAATTGTACCAAAAAAAAGAAATTTATTGAAAGCTTAGGTATTGGGTTGATGAACGCTTCACTGTACCAGTAAAGTAAAAAAAAATGTGTATTTATTTTATATCTGGGACTAATTGATACATTTATCTATTAGTCCCAGTTTTATACATATTAAATTAGTCTTATTCAATATTAGAATGTAATATGTGTTTTCAAAGATATCAGACAGAACGATCATGACACAATGTCTATAATTACTACATTTATGAGTATTTCTAAAATATTAAAATACGATTACTATTACACAAGCATTTTCTCCCCCGTGAAAATTACTTTGATTGAAATAACTTAAGTTCAATGACCAGAAACTATTTATGAGTAAAACAGAGGTTGGAATTTAAAGAGAAAGATTAATTTGACGTAGTTTATTTATGTAGGCATGTAAATGATTAAAAATCTTTAAATGACAAAAAAAATTAATATGATTATCTACTATATGTCTACATTATTAAAGCGTCAAAACGAAAGCGATTTTTTACTTCGTTCTGTTTAGTGGACGACTATTTGATTTTCGGGGGAGGGGTGGGGGGAGGAAATCCGCTAAAAAAATATGCATGCGTAGCCATGAACAGATGTAAATAAATAGCCAATCCACAAAAACCCAGAATATCAAATGCCCGTCCCCTTAAGTAAAATAAGGATGAAGCCATGTAAGAGGGTATGGATGGGGGATCCTTAATTTCTGTCTTCTTTAAATTTTTAGGGCATTTTTCTTTATCTGTAAAAATAACGCTTAAATAATTTTACAATTAAAATTTTCTATAATTGGAGAATTTCTTTATTCTGTACATCGTTCATTTCTCTAATCAGTAAAGTATTACACAATTCTTTTATTTTCCAGTTATTCTCTATTCTTTATATTTTCTGCTCATTTTTCTCTATTCATTATACGTGTTATATGTTTTTGCCATATTTCTCTATGAATACCCCATCCAGACCCTCATGTTATTGTAACGTAAATCTCTGTAATTTATTGTTATACTTACACTGTATATTTCCCCTCTGATTTTTCAAAATCTTCCTTCCCTTCGAAAAAGACTGAACAACGATACACCTATGTCTATATATATATATATATATATATATATATATATATAAGGTGTATATATGAACCAAGTCTGTATATGGAATATATATAACGTGTTAATCCAGAACCAAGTCTGTATATGGTATATATATATAACGTGTCAATCCAGAACCAAACATGTAAATCCAGAACCAACACCTTGTCAATCCAGAACCAAGTCTGTATATGGTATAAATATAACGTGTCAATCCAGAACCAAACATGTAAAACTAGAAACAACACCATGTTAATTCAGAACCAAATGATTTAATCTGTTTATGGTATAGATATAACGTAAGCATCCAGAACCAAACATGTAAATCTAGAACCAACACCTTGTCAATCCTGAACCAAGTCTGTATATGCTATACAAAAACTTTAAAATCCAGAACCAAACATGTGAATCTAGAACCAACACCTTGTCAATCTAGAACCAAGTCTGTATATGATATAAATACAACGTGTTAATTCAGAACCAAACATATAAATCCAGAACCAAGTCTGTATATGGTATAAATACAACGTGTTAATTCAGAACCAAACATATAAATCCAGAACCAAACAAGTAAATTTAGAACCAACGCCTTGTCAATCCAGAATCAAGTCTGTACATGGTATGAATATTATGTGTAAGTCCAGAACCAAACATGTAAATCTAGAACCAACACCTTGTCAATCTAGAACCAAGTCTGTATATGATATAAATACAACGTGTTAATTCAGAACCAAACATATAAATCCAGAACCAAGTCTGTATATGGTATAAATACAACGTGTTAATTCAGAACCAAACATATAAATCCAGAACCAAACAAGTAAATTTAGAACCAACGCCTTGTCAATCCAGAATCAAGTCTGTACATGGTATAAATATAACTTGTTAATCCAGAACCAAACATGTAAATCTAGAACCAACACCTTGTCAATCCAGAACCAAGTCTGTATATGGTATATATATATAACGTGTTAATCCAGAACCAAACATGTAAATCCAGAACCAACACCTTGTCAATCTAGAACCAAGTCTGTATATGGTATATATATAACGTGTCAATCCAGAACCAACACCTTGTCAATCCAGAACCAAGTCTGTATATGGTATATATATATAACGTGTCAATCCAGAACCAACACCTTGTCAATCCAGAACCAAGTCTGTATATGATATAAATATAACGTGTCAATCCAGAACCAAACATGTAAATCTAGAACCAACACCTTGTCAATCCAGAACCAAGTCTGTATATGGTATAAATATAACGTGTTAATCCAGAACCAAACATGTAAATCCAGAACCAACACCTTGTCAATCCAGAACCAAGTCTGTATATGGTATATATATATAACGTGTCAATCCAGAACCAAACATGTAAATCTAGAACCAACACCTTGTCGATCCAGAACCAAGTCTGTATATGGTATATATATATAACGTGTCAATCCAGAACCAAACATGTAAATCTAGAACCAACACCTTGTCAATTCAAAACCAAGTCTGTATATGGTATAAATATAACGTGTCAATCCAGAACCAAACATGTAAATCCAGAACCAACGCCTTGTCAATCCAGAACCAAGTCTGTATATGGTATAAATATAACGTGTTAATTCAGAACCAAACATGTAAATTCAGAACCAAACAAGTAAATCTAGAATCAACGCCTTGTCAATCCGGAACCAAGTCTGTACATGGTATAAATATTATGTGTTAGTCCAGAACCAAACATGTAAATCTAGAACCAAGTCTGTATATGGTATATATATAACGTGTTAATTCAGAACCAAACATGTAAATCCAGAACCAACGCCTTGTCAATCCAGGACCAAGTCTGTATATGGTATATATATAACGTGTCAATCCAGAACCAACACCTTGTCAATCCAGAACCAAACATGTAAATCCAGAACCAACACCTTGTCAATCCAGAACCAAGTC